GTCCTATAATTAATCCAATGAATTTACCATAAGAGACGTTTTAAGTGTATATAAAGCACAACATTTGTGTACTTCGGTACTTTTCTGTCTGTCGTCCATCCATCAGTTTAGAACTGCCTTTTTCGCATAAGAAAAATTCAGATATTTGTTTTAATTGTTATTATTGTCTCTGCAAAACGCATTTAATGCGTAAAATTACAATTTATCATCATTTGAATATCAAAAATAAAAAATTCAAATGCTATATGTTTTATTTTATACGTTTACATAATTGTCTAAATTAAATGAAAAATGCGATGAATTTTAATAAAAAAAAAATGTTACAAAACAGGCGTGTGAATATTCAATTTGTACCGTTTAACATAATGTGAGATCAACATATCCACCTGTTCCGAAAATGCCGGAAAATAAAGAAACGAATATACCATGTTTTAAAAATGGTTTAATAAATCTAAAATAATTTCTCCCAGCTTCATATAGTACTATAACCTCATTAGGTTGTCTTGAAAATTTGTGATCTTCAATTTTTTATTGCTGAAAACGTGAGGCGCATGCAATAGATAAATAAGAAAAATGAAATTAATTTATCTAAGTCATTACACTGAAATGGTATGAAGTATTACATGAGTTTAATAATTACAACTACACCCTACATTCACATTTTCGTCTTGAATCTCACATGAAAACACATGTAACAACAACCTATTTGGAATTAAAAATATGTATGGCGTTAGGAGAAAGTAATTTCCATACTTTATAAACAGTTTAAAAAAAATTTGCATTATTATTTTTACTTAAACAATTATTTTATTTAACGGAATCCCTATAGTTTCGTCATATCCGTCTGTCCGTCCGTATGTCACAGGCATTTTATCTAAAAACTACAAGTCATACATTGATGAAATTTATAGAGTAGGTGTCTTGTATAAACCGCTACTTAAATGGGTAGATAAATAACAAAAATAGATATTTATAAGGGGGACACTCCATAGAAACTGAAAAACAGGCACATAACAGAAACTGAAAAAAACCTTTTCAGCAAACATTGACGAGTGGCACACATTTCGACAGTTCTATTAAAAATACTTCAAGGTTTTTAAGCAATTTTTCTAATAACGTGAATAATTTCGGAAATAATCGCTCCGAAAGTTGCAGAAATTGTGCCTACACCCCTTTCTAGTTTCTAAACCGTAAGAAAAAAATATGAAAAAGATAACGCAGTCAATGCTAAAGCATTTGTTAACAAATGCTTTCAACGAGAATTATTTTGTATGTGGTCAAATATACTGTTTTATTGTCGAAAAAACTGCGCTTTTTAACAAAAAGATGTAAGTGCCATGTAGATACGTTATTTTGCTGATGTACTTCAGCTTGCACTAGTTTAATGGTAATCGGGACCTTGGCGCTTCTAACTGCTCGTAAGCTCAACATTATAGTGCCGATATCATCTCCAAGCGCGGATGCCGCGGTTGCGGCCTGTCGCGTGGGCTGTTTTTTGTGCGAGACCCTATTTTCGGTTCCAATAATTTTGGAGTTTACCCATGACTGTGGATTCTTTTGTTGTTTTTCCTTCGATGGTTGGGGAAGGGCCCGGGAAGTTTTTAAATTTAATAAGACCCATGTGATAAAGTCTATCCTCCACTCACTAACTGCCAACATTCAAAACCTTTGTTTCCGCTGTTGAGCGCGGGAAAGTGAGTTATGTCCAACGGACGTGATGTCTGTACCTACTACTACTACCTACCTACTACTTTTTCTAGTTATAGGCGACTAAAGTGCTTATAACTATTCAGTGCGGGAAACATGGAAAAAGTGTAACAACGCTCTTTTCCATCTGTAGTGCATTTCTTTGTAGTAATGGCTTCGGAACCCCATAATGAGCATGGTCCTATATTGTCTTGCCCAGTTTTTTCCTGTTATTTTCTCTCTTTTATACGTTTATGTCTTCTTCTTCTTCTTAAGTCTTTCTATTGAAAAGACAAGAAAACATACAAACAAGAAAGAGGGTTGATATGAAATTATTATCCAATTTTAAGCTATGTTTATTGAACGATCCAAATATCTAGCTGATAAGTCAGTGTAAAATCGAATCAAACAAACGAACCGACATACAAGAAAGTAAGTAATGCATTGTTGTTTAGTTTTGAGCTATTTTTGAATTCGAAAATGATATAGAAAATTTACATATTAAAATAGAAAATCCAAGGCATCAGGTTTCAAATACCCAAAACTGACCCAGCACTTAGGGACCTGTAACGATTTCTGTCACCAGTGCGGTTACGGCGCCCAGAATCGAAGTCGTAATATGCCATTCGAGGCACGCAGCAAGCGATTTAATTTGATTTCAGTTAAAAACTCGTAGGTCGATCCGTTAGTGATCAGAATGCGAATCCGGTACCTTTTGCTTTGTAGGCAACGCCCTTAACCGCTGAGGGGCCAGCGCTCAATATAAATCATTTATCGAGTTAATATTCGTTAACTTAAGTATTTCACTTAACATCTGTATTCTGGTACACATTTTCAATATCTTCTTGCCTTTTTTCACTATACATAGAGTACGACTGTGCGTAAAGAATTTCAGAAAAGAAAGTATATCACACCGAAACGAAGGTGAGAAAGAGCCGATATTAATATTCATAATAGCCTCTAGCGACCCCGCACGGGGAATATGCCGTGACAATGCGATATAACAGAGTTTCCAAGCCAATATGCCTTAGGCGTTCAGTTGATCACACGCCGGGGACCGGGCTACGCGACTGGGAATAAAGTCTCGGAAAACACCAAGTCAAATAGATGTATACAATTTAACTTCTCTCTTTCCGGCCAAATGTTAAACACTTGTATTATTTTATATACTATATATTAAATAATTACTAAAAATTAAAAACATGAATAATAGTACATTAATTAACTAGCTTCCATCGGCACCTCCGCCTGCGTAGACATTAAACGAAATAATTCAACCTTTATATCGGACGATTTATGTTTCGATTCACAATCCCGATAGTTTCATTATTTGTTGTGATCCCAATATCGTTCTCGATTGCAGTTTTAGACCTGCTTTCAATTTCCCTCTGTCCCGTTGTCCATTTCGATACCCCATCCATTCTGAATATTAATCACGCTCTAATTCCAATTGTTTATTATATTGCTAATACGCCTTATGTTACCACGTGCATGGAACACTATTTTTAATTTAAATTGCGTTAGTAGTTAGTAATTCACTAGAGTAGGTGCAATTAATAACGTATTTATTGCATTTATTGCAGTACACATGTGTGTAAAGTATGCTTGTCTGTGGTCTCGTAACACCAAAACGTTTAATTGTTTATCACAAAAAAAAATTAATGTTAACGACGAAACTACGGTGGATTACGTACGGTTGTTACTGAAAGTACTGAACGAATTGTGATAAAACTTGGCGATACACAACACCAAAATAAAATACAGCAGTGCTATAGTAGCTTTTTATTAGGGTAGGAAAATCGGTTCCATAGTTCCGAAGATACCCCCTGCATATAAAGAAATAAGTAAACTAAATTCTTATGATATTTAGTATGTATGTCTTTTCCATTGTACATCTTAAGTTATAAACTAGAATAAAATTAATTGACATCAATATGAAGAAGAAATCGATGGTTTAGTTCTTGTTTTTTTTAAAAACCCATTATAATTACAAAGTTTTGATGTTAGAATCATAAAAATTGACGTTTGACATCTTCTTTGCAAATAAAGAATAGGTGTTTCAGCGCTTTCGAAAATTTAACTTCAATGGAAGTAAAATGGGAACTTGAGTGTTTATATAGAAGTATCGTTAGTTATTAAATTATGAAAAATATTATTTACATTTTTGTTTTAAAAAATAAGTTTTGTGGTGTTTTCAAAGTATGACGATTTTAAAGTGGGCGTGAAAGGTGAAATGGGATTTCATTAATTTTGAAAACAAATTGTTTTGGTATTTAAAGGTCTTTAAATGCATAGATTGAGATATTAAACATAAATATTTTCCTTACGATCACTCATGAGAATGCGTTTCATAGCGAACAAACAAATTAAATTAAATTAATCTAATTATGAGACATTCACTTATCGACTGAGCCCCATAAAAATATGGTTCAGGAGGCAATTACAATCAAAATACAAAACTAACACAATACAAAACCATGAATCAAACTTTAATCAGGCTGAGCGAAACATCGTATATACCAATTTATCGCACTAAACCATATTGATCCGTCTGCCAGTACGAAGCAATGTCGTTAAAATAATCATTGTAACGAAAGTGATCGACACAAAAAAAAATCAATAAACAAAAACAACTTAAATCATCTTCTAAATGTATGAGCATAAAAATAAAACACAAATAACATCTCAAAAATGAGCAAAAACTGTGGATCGAAAAATCCATCAGAGAGATTCAATACAGAAATGGACTACGCCCGCCTCAGGCGTATGGTATATCCGCTGCTGGCAACCATTCCAAAAACCACTGGTTATATGTAAATGTTTAAAAAATATATTTTTTAATGTTTATTCAGTTTGGTGATTCCTTTCTAGTTCACCGTTAAAAACGTTATTTGAAACTTTTTAATATATAAAGATATAAGTAACGAGGAATGTAAATAGGTAAATCCATATTATGTTTAGCCAAGCTAAATTTTTGTAGACGGTTGGTATTCTTTTGTTTTATTCTCTGTTGTAAAAGTTACATGTGAATAAAATTCGACAAGGAATTGTGTTGTATAAAAAAAATACTTTGCCATCTGCTTTGTGTCATACAAATATTAAACGTTACTTTTCAATTACTTGTAAAAATTAACAACACGAAGTATAGAAATGACATAATCCACGGCGTTATAGGTATGAAAACAAAAATGAGTCCACGTGAAAAAGAAATTATTTTTACTCGAACGTTTCTATTTTCGGGGTGAAGTCAAGGTGAACAAAAGCTTGCGTCATTTTTTGGCATAAATAGGCGTTTTAGGCGATACGGTACACAAGACTCGTTAGCTCAGTAGGTTAGAGCGTTGGTATTAAATTATCTTTGACCACCAAAGGGCGGAGGTTCAAATCCTTCACGAGTCAGAACAGTTTTTTTTTCTCTCTTACAATAATCTAGATCCGTTTTAGGTAAGCTACAACAACGCTCGATGCCATAATTCGCCCTTCTAGACTGCTATTCATATCAAGGTCCTAATCTACACTTACATAAATCATGCACTATGAAAATTACGGCTGCTCGGATGTCAGATTAAACTTAAATACGGCGAAGAATAATCGGCCATATCGCGATTTAATTAATTTTATTGCTCGTGAAATAAAACACCGCCCCCCGATTTGGTTGGTAATTAGCCGGACCCTTGGGTACTATTGCTGAGTGTCAGAGAAATTCCACTGATTTCTCTACGATTGCAAATGAACACGAGAAATCAGGATAAATTATATGATACGCGAAATATCCTCTAACAATGCGACAAATTGCTCGCCGCGATAAAAAGTTTCTTATCACTGAACAATACGATATTATCAAGAATAGAAATTATGAAGACAAAACGATAAAATTAGACAGGTAGATATGAAACAAGTACGCAATGCAAAAAGTAGCAAAGATAAGTACATAGAAGCTTCATCAGACATCAACGTCTTCAACAATATGTAATGGTGTTATTTTGTATTCATAATACGATAAGAAATGAAAATTTTATATTTCGTAATGCGGAATAAATTGTAAATAATTTAAACACTTTGTTCTTTACAACGTAATAAAGTAGCAATTGGACTAACACAAAATTTATTTTAGTTTTGATCTAGGACTTCATTAGTACTCAGTACACAACTACTTTATTTCCTTTTTGTATGTATGTTTAACATCGCATAACTGTTTTGATTTTAGACGACTACCTACTTAATCCTTGAAATATGTATTTCAACTTTCTACTTACTTCGATTAAGCTGAGACCGATATATTGAACAATAAATAAAACTAAAATAATATTTATTACATACATTTTTTAACTATTACGTTATTTATTCTTTTTAATATAATAAAAAAAAAGAGGGGTTCAAACAAGATAAGAAGAAATTAATTTAATACTAGTTTGAAATATACTAAAATGTATACGACAAAAGTCACTCGTCGTGCTTAAGTGGTCATGACAATTTTTATTCTTTTTACGCGTCGCATTGTCGATTAAGTCGCTATTGATATGTGACTCGTATTTTTTATCAACATAAATTCCGCAAGTCTTCATCAAAATAATACTTAATACGATTGAAACGATTTTCGATCTTCGTCGCTTAGCATTGTGTTCAAAATCCATTGTCGAGCAAATGTTTTATTCATGCTCAAATTAGTTGTATAAATCAACAGTTGCGTCACTTCATCGAATGTAACTGCGTTTTGAGCAGAGTAAAAACACGACTCGTTAGCTCAGTAGGTTAGAGCGTTGGTATTAATATATAATTGACCACCAAAGGGCGGAGGTTCAAATCCTTCACGAGTCAACTTTTTTTTTTATGTATTAATTAATATTTTTTCTAACATTCCTTCATCGCTACCCAATGGAGAAGGTTAGGCAACTATTAACTATTTACTCACGAGTCGAAATTTATAAAATTGTTCTTGTAACGTTAGAAATTTAACAATCATTTTTTTTAGTACTATACAATGGATTCGGTGAACCAAATGTTTGTCGTTTTCTCTATTCTGGTTTGTATATTTTGTTTTGTTTTTTTACTACTAGCTTATCGTATTTTATATGTACTATGTTTCCCTTCTCCTTTTGTTCCCCTTATCATTATTATTATTAATCGTGTTTACTATAATATTTTATAGTCCTTTTTATTCTTTATATTTTTGGACTGGTTTCAATTTTAACTTTCAATGTTTAGGAATTAAGCATCGAGCGTAAATTTCTAACATATACATGAACTGCAGGTCAATACCTTGAAAGATTCTAGAGTATTATAATAGATAACTCACTTATGCAACGAATGGCAATTTCGTCCTAGGAACTACCTGCGTCCGAATAAATCGTTAAACTCAGTTGATGTAGATTGATTTGTCATTAGTTTACAAGACAGTATCGCAAAGATGCATAATATAAGATTTCTTTCTATGATTTGTATTTATGTTAGTAATCTCTAATGTCTTATCCACTTCCTTCTTTAGTTGTGTTTATACGTACATGCTAAGTAGCGTCCGTTATTGATTTCAAAACTCAAAAAGAACTAGGACGATCCTAATCTAATCTAAAATAGTCGCTTGTCACTTACTAAACACAAAGAAATGCGAACTTCAACTAAGTAAATTTACTTGTTTCGAATTATTTTATTGCTACTACGAACGTGTATAAAAAGCTATAATAAAAATTTTGTTCTTTTTTTATTGAAGAAACATGTATTTCTTGCTAAAAACTTGATTTATATTTTGAAACTGGAAACTTAAAACGTAATCATTACGAAAAATGAGTTTTCATATTTTCCCCTTTTTTAGGATTCCGAATTAAAATGGCATAAACGGAACCCTTATAGTTTCGTTAAGTCCGTCCGTCTGCATATCATAGGCATTTTTTTGTAAAGTACAAGACGTGTATTGATGAAATTTATAGAGTAGTCATGATAAATCGCTACTTAAATTGGTAGTAAAAAACATAAATAAATATTTAGATTAATATAAACACTAGTTTAATAGTAATAGTTCACACACCTACTCGCCTTTCTAGTTATAGGCGACTAAAGTGCTTATAACTGTTCTGTGCGGGAAACACGGAAAAAGTGTAACAACGTACTTTTTTCATCTGTAGTGAATTTCTTTGAAATAATTGCTTCGGAACCCTATAATGTGTATGGTCGGACATGCTCTATGCTAGCTTTTTTTTTTGTATTAAAACCATCTCCTTAGTCTAGCGCGTAGGAAGCTTATTTTAATCGCAGGCAAAGCCGGTCTTATTTTCGGATCGGCATATATGTTTATGAATTAACATTATATCGATCTTGACCAGTACCCATCTCGGCGAAGCACCTAGCTTCTCAAACATATGAACACGAACACTGCAAACTCGAAGCGACAAGGAACTTTTAAAATCATCAACCTAACCATCGACACGTCATTCGGTAGTTCAGTCTATAACTCTATTGTGAGGAAATCATAGACTAATGATGTACACGCAATCGATGCTCATATCGCATTCTTTCCAATGTAAACACTTGAGCTCGTCTTCCGATGTTGCATAAGTAGTTGACGAAGATACGATGTCTACCTATTTAACACCTTTTTGCAGTAGAATAGGTTTAGTGCTTTAATTCTGCCTTCATATTTTTTGACACAAAGACTTTCTCATAGTTCACGTATTAATATCACACATTCTTCGAAATTTTTTTATGATGTTTCCAAGCAAGCGGATATGGTCAAAGGCGTTGAAACCTTTATAGAAACCATGTGACTGAAAACCGTCAAACCTGCACAGGAACTGGTTTTTGATAACCCTCGAAAACAATATACCCGTGACTGAAGATTGAGATAGGTCTGTGTTTGTTAGGCAAAGTAATCTTAAGAAAAACCCCTACAACTTATTCAACTATATTTTTCTAATTAAAAATACAGAAATAACTTTAGGTGACGATTCACTTTATTGACGACTCGTACATGCGATGCAACGATCGCCTTGTTTTTTTTGTCCATTTATTATGTATTAGTTATTTATTTTTCTTTAGCTAAGCTAATAATCTATTGTTTTTTTTTTGGTTTTTGGCCATCAAAACATAATGTATAAATTACAATCGACAAAACTTTGGTAATATGTAAAAATATTGAAAAATAAGCATAGTCGTTGAGGAGGAAAACTAAAATTAATCTGATGACATCACTAGTAAGTACCTCTTATTTCATTTTTTGAAATAATACTTTTTAATTTTATTTTTTTATTTACTATTATAACTTATAATTTTTTACAAGTCATTATTACTATTATATTTTTATGCATTTATTTATTTTATAATGAATAATATTATCATAAAATAAATAGTATTATTGTTATTATAACTTATAGCCAATTCTCTGTGACATTTTGAATTGTATAATATTCATGAATTTTTTTTTATTAATAACGTAAACATTTTTATTCATGATATATAGGTACTAATGATGTCATTTTGCAAATATTACTTATTAGAAAAGAAAAATCTTCATTGTGTTTTAAATGTTTACATACTAAATATTTATACTTGCCATACAAAAGAACATGAATCTTTATTCGTTTATTTATAAAGAAAAATAATTAAAAAACGATAGTGGAAAATTAAATTTGTTGTTAATTCATAGATTCTTTGTTCACAAATAATTTATAAATTAATATTGACATATGAAACATGAAATATAAATTAATATTGACATATGAAAATTGACATATTTTGATTTAAATATTTTGTATCTTTTAGATACAATCAACAACAATCAACAACTTTTACAGTAGAAAATTTATCTTAATAAATATTAATCTTTAAAATTGAAAAATGAATCTTCCAGAATAAAGTAGAAGTACATATGAGACACAAAGACGGATAAAAAAATATACAAATTTGGTTCTGTAAATGTCAAGTTTGCCCATTTTCTTCCAATAGCTTCATCTACAACATATTTTTATGAGCTTATAAACACCACCAACACTGAGTTTGAAAATATGAGAGTTTGTCTCGTTAAGTTACATAAGAAGTAAATCAATTATATTTTTGAACTTTGACTCAAAGCGTCAATCATTTCCACTTAGCTGTTTACGACAATAGGCGATAGTTTTATTGAATAAACCTAGAAGCAGGAAGAAAAACTAATGTGCAGATCAATGTATCAATAGCGAAAGTCATAATATCGTAGTAACTAAGCTAGATGTATGTAGCATGTGGGGCGTCTGACGTCCGTACTCAACTCGCGAACGAAGGGTTCTATTTGCATTCGATGTATTAATTGAAATTTAGCCGAGCTGACGAAAAACAAGAGTGTACCAAGTCGTCGATTCTGCGACTAGAGAAACAGTCAAACAGAGCTCCTGCGCACGTACAGTGGCCGCAATAGTAATAAAACAAGTAAT